CCAGCAGTCCCAGTTGCTCTTCGTGACACAGAAATGGACAGGCCAAGGCTGTCTGACATGCTGAATGAATACTGGTGCCATATTCCCAGTCGACTACAGCTTTGAATGAGATCACTTAGACACACTTCTAGCCTACTGTTCATAGAGATTCTTCTTAGAGGTGTTAATTTGTAAGGAGAAAAAGGAGAGGCTGTAGTTCTCACTGGCTGTCCGTGCCTTCAGCTCTCAGCTCCATGTGAATCAAGGGATGTGAAGGAAGCTGAAGGACTGTGATGTGCTTTAGTGGACATTGAGCCACACTGCTACACATCACTGTGCAGACGGCGCTCACACACAGCAGAGCAATGTGCAGGAAACCCAACTGAGATGGTCTCTCGGAGAGCTCCTGGGAAAAACAGGGTGTTTGATATACAAAGTGGTGAAACAAATCGTGCTGCTACTCATGTTGTGTGGGCACATATTATACCAAAAATATATATTTTTTCCTGACATATTAAATAATGACTCTATCAATAAACTAAAAAGACCAAAGATCTTGAAAACTAAAAACAAAAAAGCAATGAAAAATATAAAAACGTCAAAGGAACAGAGATTGATCATAGCTCTCTGTGCAAAGAAAGGATTTCTTCATCCTTGATCTCTTCTGGCTGCATATGTTTACCATGAATTATGAACCATGATAATATTGTCTGTCTTTATGACTTAATGATACTCTCATACCTATTTGCACAAATATTGATTATCTTATTTAAGTCACCATGGATCTAGCAGTCTTCTGGAGGAATTAACAGTGATAATAGTTGAGTCCTGGGCCTAATGATTAATGTTTCCCATTGATCTTCAGCCACAGACAGAGTTCCACACCCAGACCCCACACATCCAGATCCAAACAGATCTAGCGCCTGTGTGACCTCACTATGTGTCTGCCTAATAAAACATCAGCACGTTGTCTCACTAAGTCATTCTGCAGATTTTGCCCAACAAGAGTTTTCCAAGTCAAAATGATCTCTAGGGAACTGACCACAAATGAAACACTTTCTGAAGTGCAACTTGTGGCTTGCGTATTCAGTATTGGGGTCCAACTAGATATGAAAAAGCGTGAGATATGAGACATGATATCGGTATAGATATGAGCATGAGTAAGCTCTAACCCTAAGCCTATCCCTGACCCTAGAAAGTAAGCACCTGTACTCGGTTGCAGAGAATCGTCTTTGGTCTTAACAGACGCCGAGATGATCTGGGGTGTTTTGTTTTTATGATATATCAATTTTGACGGTGAAATGTAATGGAAAATATCTCAAACACACATGCAAACTCTTGCTTTCAAAACTGGCATCTTTTCGGCGTGTGATTAAATATAACTGAACGATACAGGAGACGGAGACCTGAGGTGATCCGCGCTGGGAGCTGCTGCGCGCAGGAACAGCCCCTCGGAGCGGAGCTCGGCGCGCCTTCTCGCGTTCAGCGACCGCAGTGGCGGACGGACCGACGGGCGGACGGGCGGCGAGTGCTGCGCTCTGCTTGTTCAGACGAGAAACTGACCCGTCTGTCTGCGTGCTGGCCGTTTCATTTGATCGTCGGCTAAGCCTGTTATCGCAAACTCTTTCCCAATTGGAAATGCATTGGGTGTGCATATTCAAACTGGTATTCTAACTAGTTCAAGTGAAGCGGGCGCAGCTGCCATCACGACTGTGTAGCTGGTCTCAGTTCTAATTGCGATTACAGATCTTCTTTCCAAGCGGCGTCTTGCTCGGTGAATTTTCTGCACACTGTACAGCTCCTGGCTCGAAAACCACTTTGTAACTCGACACGGGTCGCAGCAAAGCGGCCGATATTCAAATGAAGTTGACTTGGAGAGATCAAACGACGCCACGTCCGGCTCACCGGATCAGGGTGATTGATGCTTTGGTGGGGTTTTTTTAGAGCTTATCTCCGCATCGTCCACTTCAATACCCGTTTTCGCAATTTATCCAAAGTCCGTTTTTTTTAGGGGTAGTTGCGAGTAATTTTGCCAATAGCACTGGCGGCCAGGGACAGGCGCACTTTGTGATAGCGTGTTTGCTGGCACGTATGTAAAATACAAACAAGGTGTGAGAGTTACATTGCCACATGAGGAAGAAAACCTAAGGAGTACAGCGCGGAGCCGGGAAGTAGGAGATTAATATCTCCGTTAGGGAGAGAGTGTGTGTGTGTGTGCGGGTCTGTGTGTAGCCTGGCTGCTGTGTTATTTTCCAGCCTGGAGCCCCTGCCTGTGCAGCTCGATCGATTCTCATTGATTGTCCCTGACGAGCTGCTCCACTTTCCAGCCAATGTCAGCCTGTCTGCGATCGGGAAGGAGAGAAATGAAGGAAAATCTCTGCCGCCCTGGCAGTGTCATTTCCACACACTTCAGCTGGCTGCCTGCCAGCAGACAGGACACTAGGAAGAGGTGGACTGGACTGCGCTTTCGGAGGGCAGGGGAGCCGCGTTCTCCGCGCCTGCGGCCGCCGCTGACCAACGCCTGACTCTGGGCGCCGCGCACCCTGCGTGGAAAACGTCCCCCACACGCCAGACAGCGCGACCGCTTCGCGTTGAGGCATTTTTTAAAAAAACAAACTATGTCATTTATTATAATGTGCATTACTCCTAATCGCATTGATTTGAGTCGCCGCTCAGCCAGCGACACAAAGGTTCATTACGGTTATTGCCCTGGTGCCGCTTACAAATATATAGAATGTGACATCGCCTTCACACAATGTCGTTGCCCCCCAGGAAGCATTTTACACCGACCTAAATATGATACAGAGTGACCGATGTGGACTACGGTGATGTAGCGCCCGCTGTCTGAAGATTACCTCTGCATGTGCTCATATCGTGCAGTTTAAAAGTGAGCCCAGAAAATTGTGACCACACGTATATGATATCTGTCCGCGTAAAAAAAACTAATTTTCAGTTCGAGCTGTAATCCATCCATCTGAGCAGATTCCAGTTATTTTGTAATTATTTCTGAAGCCTAATTATTAAAAAAAAAACCTGTCCCTGCGGCAGTGCGTTAGGTAGCAGGGAGCGATTCTCTCTGCGGGTACTTTTCTAACGATTTTTGCGGGGCCGCCGTTCAATTCAGACGATTTCAAAAGGAGAAGTGCTGAAATATTATAGTCACCTTTCTAATGTAGGTGGCACGCAAATATAAGAGCCCATCCAAATCCCCAGCCTCAGACACACGGAGTTTTCTGTAATGTCAGCACACTGTCATACTTGAAGACTCGCTGTATACAACCCTAAATTATGATGAAACTGCCACTAGCAACACTACCGGTGCCGTCCCAAAATGACACTTTTATTAGCGTTTGCACTGTCGTGAATAGGCGATTTAGATGTTTAGTATAATCACTCAACTCATTACAGTAAGAGAGACCGCATGCATCTCTTCCAGACAGGCTGAAGTTCTTAGTAAGCACGAACGTGTTAAATTCAAGTTCTTTCTTAAAGAGGTATGACGAGTGAACCTGCTATCTTAAAGAAATCATATCAGAGTAAACACTGAACAGCATGGCAGCCATCGCCGGCTACAAATATGCAGCGGGCACAGCCTCCCGCCTCTGGTCAGCCTTCTTAATGAAAATCTGTTTTAAAAGGACACGCAGGCCGGACGGTGACCACCCCCAGTCAACAACGCGACTCCTCTCTTCAAAGAACATGTTCGCAAGATTCATTTTTCTCCCTCGGCGGAAAGTCCACTTCGGTTTTTACGTGAAGCTCCAAAAATCTATGAAATGTGTTTGCATGTTCTTCCCGAGCGATCAGGGATGTAGAGGTGGGTTTGTGAGAATCGAAAGGTTGGAGCGCACTCGCTCGCCTCCGAGAACTGCGTTTTACACTTATTTAACATTCCGGATCCCTCGCGTTTATTTTGGGCGAGGGTTTAAATATTTCTGCCGGGTGAGAATTTGATTTTTCCCGTCTTTTTGACCCCCGTCTCCGTATCTGCAGCTGAGAGAGGCAGGCTGGACTGGCGCGTCCCTCCCTCCGCTCGGATCGCCTTTGGTAGGTGCGAAAGAAAGGGCCTGTGTTTGCAAATATGCAGATACATCGAAGGGGGGATTCATAGTTTGTTGAAGTCTGCTCAAAGTTGGGATGTCATCTTCCTAACGATCAAGTTTTCAGGCAGTCCGGGATAATGCTTTTCCTTGGCCAAAAAAAACGTGGTACTGCAGATATTAGCCGGGCACTGCAGACATACTGGTTTCAGATCACTGAGTCTAGACAAAAGGTATTTTTTTGCTCCTTTAATGTGAAATAAAATTTCGCACAGCTGCCGAGAGTGTACATACCTGATGCGTGAGTGACGAGGAGCTGTAGCTAGCTGGAAGCACGCGCGGAGTGGGGCTGAGCGCGTGGTAATTTGGGAATTATGTTTCTTTGATCGGCGGCGACGGTAACATCGGGGGACGGAGATGTGACACTCGCTCCCCATTTTTCCCCAACTGCGGAGTAAAAATGTAAGTTTCGATCTTCGGTTCGTGCCTTGCGCCGCTACAAACTTGACGGTCTTTTCCGGGGCTCTGGAGGGAAAGGCGAGTGGGCATGAGGTTAATAACGTTAGAGGAATACATATTTATTCATAAGTTTGAAAAGTGGGTTTGTGAGCGCTCTGTCGGAGAGGAACTTGTGCATTACAGGCAGCGTACGTCTGCTCGGAAACCCAAATGTTCTTTCGTTTTCCGCAATCTAATGGTCTGATCACTTTGATTTAGTTTTAGTGTATCGGGTGTCGTGTTCATTGTTCGAAGGGGCGAACCGAGCCCTTCTCTCTCTGTGTGTGTGTGTAGCGCGGAGCACCGGTCAGACCGTGTACCAGGATTTACTGCGACCCCTCGTTAATGCCGCAATCCGGGACTGGCGACGCCGCTTGTGTGTGTGTGCGTGTGAATGTGGCGTGTGTGTGGTCGCAATTAGGTGTCACGATCATACTTTTCGATTGCGAGATTTTTTTTTCCCCTTAAGAACGAGGATGATTTGTCTGCGCTCAATGAGCGGGGGGTACTTATTCTTTATTATTGTTATAGGGGTATTTAAAAACATGCCCTCACTGGCGCCGGAGCCGCTGAGATTATTTGATGCGATTCTGAAGAGAAGCAGCCGTGTCTGCAATACCTGAACTAATAAATATCGAGTCTCGCAAGTCTCCCAAGAGACGGCGAGAACCAACTTCCAGTCCCGGCTGCTGATCCCTGGAAGCGCCGGGCCCCTTCCGCCTGAAACCTGTAATTACGAATTCCCAACTCCGGACAACTGCGCGTTTTATTTTTATTGCTGGTGCCGCCGCCGTTCTGTGAAGACTGCCGAGAGAACAACTTTATTTCGCGAAACAATACGAGCGAGAGGACGACAGATGAGATGCACTGCTACGTTATCCGTGCTCTGCTAGACCCCGATATCCAGACTGGTCCCAGCTGGGTCACATGTCGGGACTTCAGATGACTGAATTGTGCTCCAGGTCAGCTCTTGTCAGTGGGTCACTCCGTAGCCTTCGCTGCAGGACTATATTTATCACGCGGTTCCTACCAGTTGTTGGAGACCGTCAGCCTGCCCCGCTCTCTATTTGTGTTGTGCTCTCACTCATAGCCTTTCGTGTCAAACTGTTGCCACGAGTGTTTCGGCTGGGTTGCTTCTTGCCTGAGAACTTCGTATCCGGGCCCTCGCCCCCCCAGGAGAGCTCGGGTCCAGCGGGACGGGGTGTGCCGGTTCGTTGTGCCGCTGAAATGCCAAGCGCGGCGCCAAGCACCGTGGGTCCCGGTCCGGCGGGAGAGGCTGGACCAGGGTGTCCAGCGCCCGTGGTGACACGTCAGGCTGCCGCTAATGCGGTGTGAGACTGTCCGCGCCGCCATGTTTCACCGGGGCCGCCAATGCCTTCTGCTCGCCGGAGAGCGATCGTATTTTGATTAAGCTCTTGGGTTTAGTGCCTGTAATGCAAAGACGCTTTACACAATAAAAACTGATTAGCGGTGACCTGATTTTCTGCTGTTTTTCACTTCTTAAGTGTTATTTACTTTTTGTTTTTTAAAAAAATCTCTATTGCAACTTTGTCATCTCCCAGTGCATCTTGTCTCAGGTGTGTGTGCGCGCATGGTGACTGTCCTCTGGTCCCACGCTGCTCCTCAGACTCCGTGTGTAAAGGGCTTGGGCGCCCTTTAGGATGAAAAGACATAAATAAATGCAAGGAGGAAAATACAGAATTATTTATTTTGCTCTGAAGTTACTGGTGTATGCAGTATGCACATGCACAGAAGCTGTTGTATAATGTGGCCTCTCTAACTCTTATTTATCCTGAAAACTTGGGATTTAGGCAATCTGTGATCTTTGGCAGTTCACCACATTTATGGGGATATCTGAAGTTGAGATAGTCCTCTATTGGGACTAAGTGGAAGACCTCAAAAATGGAATTTAACGATGCAAGAGAAATGAAAAAGCAATGCGTGTGCCCACGCCTCTTTCGCGGATTTCTGAAGTTGCGTGAATCACGCAGTTCCGTGCTGGGGACACGATCGCTGGAGCCCGGCCTGCAGGCAGCGCTCTGCCTTTGCTCACACCTGCTCTGAAACGCTCTGGGGGCCACCTGTCTGAGGACGGGGCCGGGCCGGTGTGGGCGGATCTGAGGTCCGAGTGAAACGCTCGAGAGAGCAGAGCGGCGCAGAGCAAACAAAGCCCACGCCACCTTCCTGCCTGTGCTGCAGGCTCTGCTGCCCAGCAAGAACGCGGGGCTGGAAGCCTGCCTTTGAAGCTTTACCTCCCACTAATTTTGGCCTTCCAATCTCCACACACTGTCTGTGTTTTTCTTCCTTTGTTTCCCATATAAGGCCGAGCCTGTGTCTTGGTTTCCATGTGTCTCTCGAGAAGGGCCAGCGATCTGAGAGTTGCCCTGAGAGGGTTTTCAAGTGTGGGAAGTAGAGGAGAAGGCTCTCGCTGTGCTAGAGGCAGGAGGGAACTGGGGCTTTGTTGCCAGCGACCTTGAGTGCAGGACAGGGGACAGGGGACAGGGGACTGGACAGGGGACAGTGGCGAAGCCTTGGCCTGCAGGATGGGCTTTGCTGGTAAGGTCCTGCCACTTCTTGGGCAAACCAGTGTTCGGCAGTGAACAACTGAAGTAAAGATCATTTTTATGAGTAAGATGTGGGAGGCCTGACACAATCTTTAGATACAGATTTTAAATGGAATTCAGTTTCTTTTCAGGATTTGAAAGTTGTAGGGAAAACATTGGTGCACAACTGCAGTTTAACGAAAGTGCATTTCTGTTGATGCTTATTGTTGTATTTCGGGGTAGATATTATGGCCGCGATTAAATTTGCTGTCAAATATTTTGGTGACTCATGTGTAGAAAAGACAAGCAAAGGAGACCTGGGCAGACTATGAAGAGAGAGGGGCTCCTCACCAGAATGTGTGCTTTTTCGGAGTGCTGGCTCAGCCCTCTAGTCCAGACACTGCGGGTCTGAGTCTTGGCCAGCTGAGAGCTGGTGCGGCTGAGAGCCCTGGTCCTGGGTTCGAATCAGCTCTGGTGTACAGCGCCCCCTGCGTCTTGCCCTATTGTGAGTAGGGGGAGGTGCACTTGTGCTGGATTGAGCGGTTGTTGCTGATGGGGAAAAAACATTGCATGGAAAATAGATCTGTGTAAAATCTGAGATGAAATGTCAATTGGGGACAAACTGTGGCCTAATTCTTTGAGATATAAATAGCAAATTTCAGTCTCAGCAGTACCTGTGTAGCTTATCTTTCGGGTAATTGTGTAACCCAGCACCTGAGAGACAGATGCCCAGTGACAGACCCCACTCCAGAGAGTCATTGCTGTTTCTGTATGAAACTAGGCATCCACAGACAGCTGCAGCCCTAACACAACTGGATAATGTCTCTCTCCGTATTGTTACTTTGTCTTAAACCTAGGATTACTTTTTCTCTCTAGTACTGCTGTTAGATATTCGTATCAGGATGAGGCCAGAAATGAAAAGGCAAACAAGTTTTAGCAATTGGAGTTGAGAATAAGGCAAAGGCAAGATGTTTACTGCTTAACTTACTCAACACAGCATCAGTAAAGGGCTCCTAGCGCTTGTATATGGTGTCACAGCTGTGACTGGCTGGGTGGGAGCAGAACCAGCCTCTGAGGACACCTGAGCAATTCCAGAGAGCACAGGACGTCTAGGAGCCTAACGGCGGCAAACCCTTGAAAGTCTGCTTCGGCTGCTCCTCGTTGTGCCACTTGTTGTGTTCTTTTTAGTAATCGGAGGCTCTGAGGCTCCCTGTGTGGAGCTACAGCAGGTCTGAGATGTTTCGGGCTCACAAACCGCAGTCCTGGCCCGACAGCGTCTCTGCCAGGTCCTGTACGCTGGCGCCACGTCCCCTTTGTGATGGGAGTCGGTGTGTGCACAGCTGATGGGGTCACAAAGCCTCAGCTGTTGCTTTGCTGGAGACCCTAAACGTAAGATTAGTTTGCCCCCGAGAGGAGGCACTCGGCCCATCTGTCTGTGTCGGCGTGTCCTTCACAGAGACCAGGTTATCTGCTCCCACGGCACGGCTGGGCAGCTTGTTCCACACTCCCACAACCCTCCCTGCAAACATGTGCCTCCTGTTGGGTAAAATGCTGTAATTTTGGAGCTGGACTTGCTTCCGTGTGATTTGGTGGCGAACTGAACACAGCTGCCGCCTCTCTGTAGCAGGTTAGCTCGCCAGGCTGGTCACTATGGCACTGTTGCATGGAAATTGAAGATGGAAAAACAACGCAATTGGTATGTGTGATGTGAAGCCTGACCTCTCTCAGCTGCAGCCCAGAAACGCTGGCGCATGGCTGCTCTGAAATGCCAAATACATGTTTCTGTGTCAGGATTAGGAGGCTTGTTCCAGTTCAGATACGGCGAGGAGAACGCTGCTGGGTAGTGCTGGAGCTACCATGCCCGTGATTTTGCACAGTGTTTTTATCTGAAGAGTCTCTGCGAAAAGCTGCCCCTAGTGCAGTGTTTATTAACAGGGAGGCCGAGCCAGAGCACGTTAGCCTGTGAATAAAGCCTTTGTACTGGGATTCACACTTGCACAACACGCACGCACGCAGGCACACACACACACACACGCAGGCTGAGGCCAAACCTTCTGTGTCCATGTGTGGTCAGCTGAATAATAAAAACCTGCCTCCTGTTATTACCAAAGACACTGCATGGGTGGTTTCACACAGGCGTGACATGCCACCTTTATCATGTAGGATGATTTCCAGCAAAAATCTTAACACCCTTTTTTAACAAGAAAGGAGAAAAAATATTTTCTTTGCCTCATAGATAGAATAGAACAGATACGTATGAGTTTGGGATCATTGTAGATCTTTATCAAAGGGGTATTCAGAGAGAATCCTTGTGGTGCGTCAAGTACCGCCAGTTTTTCTTTGAAGTAAGGAGTCAAACGCAAACCAGGGGGCATAAGGGGAAAGTAGGTTAATATGCTTTTAAAACAAAGAAGAAAGGTGCTTCTTTATCCAAAGGGTTGTGGGAGTCTGGAACAAGCTACCCAGCTGTGTTGTTGAAGCTGGTACCTCGGCTTCCCACAAGAAACAGCTGAATGAAATCCTACCGAATGAGCTGGAGGAGCTGAAATGCTTTCTCTTGTTAGTAACCTTTCTTATGATCTTAGTACATGTTATTGAAAGATTGAAAAATCTTATCTGTAGAATTACTCTGGGATAATATTTACACCCAAGCAGGTGTGTAAGAGCAACAAGGTCTATAACTACAGGTTTTATAAGGTGTTTATAAGGTATAGCTCTCAGAAACATAGAGTTGTATGTGTGAAGGTTCTCTCCCAATTTAGTAAAAGACTTATTTTTTTCAGGTACAACTAAGTCACTAAGTTATCCCTAAATGAACCAAAGTATTAAGGCCAATAAACACATAAGACACTCAGCATAACACATGCTTGTGGAATAGGAGCTAGTTCTTCTTTTCCTTCAGAGCTCAAGGTTTCTGCTTATAATTTTATTGATCCCGAAGGGAAATTGAGGAAGTCTTATCCATCTATCTTATAACTAGTCAGAGTTTGGTAAACTCCTAAAACTTCACCAGTGAACAGGGCCTGACAAAATGCTTAAGAAAGCATCCTAAAAATGTTTTTCATATTCGCTCATCTTGTCTTCTGCTCTTCTTGTGTCTTTAAAGAAAGAGCCTCTTTCCTGAGGTTGAGCCCTTGAGCTTTACTTCTAGATGTTCCTGACCGAGCATGTGTGTGGCTGATCGGTCCTAATGTGTTTCAGAAAGCGAGGTGGAACGTGTTGAACTGAGTGTTTGGCTCTTGCTTTTTCCCTGCGTGCAGTGACTTTCCGGGAGCTTGGAAACTGCAGGGTCTGGTTTCTGTGTGTGAAGTCAGTGTGGCTGCAGAGGTGGGGGCCATTTTCTGTCCAGACCGCGGAGCTGCTCCTCAGAGTGCCAGGCGTTTGGAGAAGTGACTGGAGGCTGGAGGGGAGTGCAGCGAGCTCACAAACCTCGCACCCGTGCAAATGAAGCCCTGCAGCCGGTCAACCACCAGGCCGGCTGCTGGAAACCGAGTGCACAGGGTTAACAGATGATTTGGTATAGTAGAGGCAAGTGCAAAGGACACTTTTGGCACTCGGGATAAAGAAAATGTGCATTCCTGTGCATTCATGCCATTCATTCACGGCAGTCCAGTGTTCAGCAGTGTCAGTCTGGTTTGCTTGCTGCAGTCTGAGCCAATACTTGCTGCTTGACCACCTCTCAGGTACTTGTATTTGGAGAGTTTTGGAGCTCAGTGCCCTTGTTGCACACCTGTTGCAGCAGGGGTTGTCCAAAATGGCCAGCAGTGCTGTGGGTTTTGTTTCAAACGAGTCTGTAAGCTATTTTAACGGAACTAAATGTGGGTTTAATTGGGTTGTATCTCTCATCTTCCTCCAGTCTTTGAGCAGGTGAAGTGTTGAGGGGACCTGTGGTGTGTGTGTGTGTGTGTGCGCGCGCAGATTCTGTCAGCCTGTATTCTTGCTGCAGCTGTTGGGAGCCGAGCGCAGCCAGGTCACGTGACAGCCAGAGTCACAGTTGTGTTACTTGGAGGTCGTTGCTACATATCAGTTTGTGAACTTACAGGAGTTCGAATGTAAGTGCACAGAAAATGTGGTGTATAAATGCATGTTTTATCCTTACAGAATAGTGTGCTTTTATTAGTATCCTTGTTGTGATGTCCTTGTCCTTGTTGTATGTTGGAGACGCGCAGCTGGACTGTGGGATTCTGGTTGTAGCATTTATTTCATTTCCTTTTACAAAATCAATTCTAACTTTGAAATTCCCCAAAAAAAGACAACAAGCCTCAATATTCCCAACCTGTAGTTTTTTTCTCAGTAGTAGTGCAGGCCTTGTGTTATGGAGATATAAGATGTGAGTTGTTTGCCGTGCAGAAACGTTTGTCTAACACGCACAGAAAATTTGCTACATTTCCATCTGGTGTGCTGAAGAGCATGATGTTACTCCATATCAGATGTTGATCTGAAGATTAGTTGCCAAACTTTAGTCATGGTCACATTTTCTTTTTAGCTTCTTTCACTTGAACTGACATGCTCTACGACAAACAGCCCCACTGTCTGCTAGAACAGCGTAATGAACGTTTTCAGAAACGCTGGTCTTCTTCGACAGGGCACTAAAGGCCTTTCTCTTCTGTCTTTTGCATTTTTCAGCTTTCAGTTCCTCACATAAAGGATGCTGCGGATGTCGGAGATTTAAGCTGCAGTCAGAGGCTCGCTGGGAGTTTTGAAGGGTGATCCGTCGATAGCCGCCATTGTTTCACCTGCGCTTTGAAGTTGCTCGCCCTGACTGTCGTAACATGTCTAGCAGACATCAAGAAGAAAACCAAAAGCCCGATGCCTTGGACAGAAGCAGCAGTGAGGACGCACAGCCCCCCGTCACAGAGAGAAGGAACAAGAGTGGTATAATTAGCGAACCTTTGAGTAAAAGTCTTAAGAAGTCTCGCACGCTGTCTCAGTATTCCACGGCGGGCAGCTCGGGGTCTGTGAATGGACTGCTGCAGAATGGCATGGCGGCGGGCACCGGGGGCGAGGCTAAGAGCAACACTACCTCCTCAGCGCACAAAACCGCCTCCCAGCCTTCCAACAAGGCCGACAGGCCGTCGGAAACAGGTTCCGAAGGACAGAACGGTCTGAATTTCGCTCAGACGGCCGAGCTCCTCAAGAGGGCAGGGGTGGAGCACGTCCTGCTGCCGAACGAGCAGGGGCCCAGCATCAGCGACATCGAGGCAGTGTCTGCCACGGAGGCCATGAGCAGCCCCGCTGACTTTCCTTACATGGGCGGCTTTCCTTTCAATCCCGGCCTGTTCATCATGACGCCTGCTGGGGTCTTCCTGGCAGACAGCGCGCTGCACATGGCCAGCTTGGCAGAGTACCCCATGCAGAATGAGTTGGCATCTGCCATTAATTCGGGGAAAAAGAAAAGGAAAAGATGTGGGATGTGCCCTCCCTGCCGCAGGCGGATAAACTGCGAGCAGTGCAGCAGTTGTCGGAACCGAAAAACGGGCCACCAGATTTGTAAATTCCGAAAATGCGAGGAACTTAAAAAGAAGCCTTCTGCGGCCCTGGAGGTAAGGAACATGCCCGGGTGGCCAGGTCCCCAGAGGCTCGGCACCGGAATCGGTCCCCCCCCCCCCTGTGTCCCAGTCGGTAGAAACACGCCTTTCCCTTTTCCCAGCCGAGGGGCTTTGTTTCTAAAAATCCTTCAGATTTATATTTTTTTATCCGAAAGATTGTTTACGCTTGGCATAGAGCAGTGAGCGAAGGCAGAGAGGAGCATGGGCTGTCCATCTGCCCGTTGGAAAGTCATCTGGAGGACCAGGTGTCCAGGCGCGTGGTGCAGACTCCTCATCTGAGCTAGCTTCAAGTTCTGCGCACGTGTCTGCGCTCAGACCCCAGTTCGGTCAGGGCGCTGGAAAAAAACAAGGGGTCTGCTTGTGAAAAGGATAAAAACGATCTACATTACTCAAACTTTGACACAGCCTTTGTTTGGGTAATGCCTGAGCTGTGATCTATTGCCTTTCTCTTGCTTTGTAAATTGTGGTTGTTCTGTATTTTGTGAAATATTTGTTACCATCTCACACTGATGCAATTATTAGGCAGGATTTCAACTAAGGTGAGTTCAGGTTTTAGCTCGATTCAGGGTTTGCCTTAGTAGCCTGATCTTTAAAGTTGAGTTAACAGCATAACTAGGAATTACATTTATGATGAAAGTGAAAAAAAATGTTTTCATTAAGGCTACCTGTCCTAGATTAAAGACTCAGTTTGATTTTGTGTATATCTCAACAATTACAACTGTATTCATAGAACATACAGTAGTAAAATATTTAATACCGTCAGGTGGTGTATTTGTTTTTTTGAGTGAAAAACAAAGTTTCTGTTGTCTCTGCACGTCTTGGCCATGACCATTTGTTTTGTTGGCATTTAAAAAGAGGTGATGGTATTTTTGTGGGTGCCAAGATATTGAATTAACAAATTCTCTGATGAGAATGTGCAAAAATTGACTAGCCTCCAAGTTTTGAGAAACAGCTGAAAGCCCAGAACTTGCAAGATAACTTGTGTTAAGAAAAACGGGACATTATTTCTTCATATTAACAATCAAATCCTTCTGAAGTAGATTCCCAGCGCTGTGTCCTGGCATTTATTGTGAATCTGAAATCTACAATTTCTATGATATTGTTGATAAGCAAATGATCAAGTGTGGGAGATCAGGGTTAGTTTTTATATTTTGATATAAAGGCTTAGTTTTTATATTTGAAATCAGTCACGTTTTGAAGGAAATAAACCTTTTAATTAAAAAGGAAATGAAAAAAATGTTGCAATTTAATTTAGAACAAACATCTTTTACTGGCCAATGTTACAAATTGTAACCATAAAGACCATATCATTAATTACCTACTGTAGAAAACCTTGGTGTTTTCATTATGTGGCTCTGTCAATACTCCAACATGTCAAGACAGATAAGTCGGACATCGTATTTGTGTGAAGGAAATGGATTTCCTGTGAAGCAAGATGTATTTCAGCGAGAGCAAGATTTTTTCCTGAATGTTCTCTATAGAAATCCTGGCTAGTGCTCTCCAGAAGATGAAGGAGATAGTGTGAAGTGTTGCCTTGTCTCCAGAATCTCCTGGAACTATAATTACCCGGTTTTTGTAATTTGGAGAGGGTGGCAGTAGGACTGATCACCACAGAATCACAGACAGCGCAGTTGTGTGTTGTCTTATCAGCCATGGGCTCCAGGTGCCAGTTGGCCCTTGGTTTCAGTGAAACAAGTCTTCCTGATAATGGCAAGTGGAAACTGTGACCTGAAGGGCAATGGTGGGAGTTTCTGATCATGAAACTGGGACATCTGGGTGAGTTCCCTGGTCTTCGATCCACGTGCAGCAATGGCTGATAAGTCCTTCTAATTAAACTCACACTTGGACCCAGGTTTGTGAGTTGTGCAGTAGACTTGTGTGTAGAAAAACGTGGTCCGGTGGTAAGTGATTGCTCAGCCTGTAATCACAGTGGCGATAAACTGACCCCGTTTGTTTATTTTCCAAGCGAGACCTGGGGTCTGCTTCCTCTGCACCCCAATGGAATGACGATGGGTCAAAGGTCAGACGTGCACATTTCTGAATTCTTCGTTTTTTGTTCTGAGTCTCTCTTGTTTCCGGCGATACGAGGTTTAAAGTTTAACTTCTGTAATAACAACAAGAAAAAGATTAGAACCTGTGTTCTTGTTTGGTGCTTCCCAGGACAGCTTGGGAAACTGAGTGTGGTCTCTGTAGACAGGTGGCTTGCTGTCATCTCTGTGATGCTGAGCACCAGGCCTCTGCTGTTACGTTCAAACAGGAGGCCACTTGGCCTCTCTAGCCAGCTTGGTAGATAGTAGTTAATCAATCTCAGGATCTCATCCAGCTGTTTCTGAAAAGAAGCTAGGGTAGCAACTTCAGCAAGCTGGCTGGGTAGCTTGTTCCACACTCCTACCACCCTTTGGCTAAAGAGGTGCTTCCTAAATGCACTTTTACAGAGTTTCCGTGTGGTTCTGTGGCAGGTGCCATTCCCCTGCTCTCTCAGGAGCTGCGCTGTTGCAGTAGAGAGTCGAAGTGAGCAGTAGGATTGTTATTGGCATCAGTACAGCCTCAGGGGGAGTCCTCCACACAGCCCACAACACTGCGGTTGTGTTTTATTGTCATGAAGGAGAGGCAGCAGTTTTAAATGAAAGATCCTGCTACCCCACGACTTTTGTAATAATATCAAAATCAATAACGCAGCCACGAAGCTCTTTTTAAAGAGTTATTAATTAAGTGTACGAAATTGCGGCAATCAAAATCAAATTTCAATCTCCCTTTTATTCATTAAACATCTTACAATTATAGTAACTACTTTCACACAGTCAATGACACGTAAAAAAGACGAAGGAATGTGCAGAATTATATTTTCACATTATTGCTAAAATAATGTTCTGTGATAAAAAAATAAAATCTTCTGTGCCAGAAGACTCTGAGAGTCGTTAACAGTCACTTATTTGTTGATAATTATCCATACAATAATTTAAGAAGCAAGTGAAATGAACATAAATGTAAGAAATGGGCAGAAATATCAATATCAAATATGGCTGAAACAAACATATGGTAGTATTTTGTTTTCTGAATCAGCTGTTGAAGAAAATTGTTAAGGTTACAAACCACAAGTTTTAATCATTTTTTCGGTACATGACATAAACCCATTCTGCTCTGTAGTGGCTCACTTTTCATGATAATGTGATAAAGATCTTCGAATGAAGCTGCAAATTTTGCCGAAGAGAAGAGCAAGGAGGACACTGGTCCTGATTTGGTTTAAAACTGTCCTTTCTTGACTGGGGCCAGTCAAAGTCAAATAGAGCAGCCAATGAGCATGTAGGATCTGCTGCAATGAGATCCTCCGTTGTGCTCTGAACTGCACCACTCTGAAGATTTCAGTGTGAGGGGAATGCAGTGTGTGTGTGTGTGTGTGTGAACGGACACCGCACTGCCGTCTGTGCGAGGCAGTTCCCTTACTCCTGTGGGTAATTCACTGAGCACAAGCCTCCACCAATTTCCGAACTTGACATGCTCTGTCTTGTCCTGAGACCTTGCAGAAGCCATGCCTTCCTGCTCTCAGGGAACCTTGCCCTGGGGCTCTGAGAAATGAATACAGTAATAAATGTCTGTTCTGGGTGCACGTTCGCATCTTATTGTTTTGGGTAACCAGTCCCCCAGCTCAGAATGCGGCCTTCTGCTGAGGTTCAGCACAGCAGAGTTAGGGAGCCAGTTCCGGACTGATCAGTGCCATCAGAGAATGCGCCACAGCAGCCCAGGAGCCTCTGAACGAGGCCGCTGTCCCTTTACATGAGTTGCATTATGGATGGAAGGAACTCTGGCGTTCTTTCAGCATTAATTAAAGATGGGATTCTGCAAAGCAGAAATAAGTTAAGTTGGGTGATATCAAATGGACTATTCAGGAAGCTGAGCAAAAGCATTCTAATTATGTGGAATCGGTAAATCACTTGTATTAAAGTCTGCAGCTGTCCTGTGAAGATTCAGTGGCAGGTAGAACACGTATTCCCATATCTGCAAATACCTTCCCCTCCCAGTTCTACCTGTAGTCAGATAAAATGGCGTTAGGCCTGAGAGGAACAGGCCACTGGCATCGTGGTATCGCCGGCTGTCTGCTCCTATGGAAGGGCCTTCACCTCTTCTCGGCTGTGGGGCTGTTTTGCTGTGTGTTTGTCAGAGTGTGGTGTGGTTGGGTGTTTTGCTGTGTGTTTGTCAGAGTGTGGTG